TAGAATACAAATACAACCAGAAGACACCCCTAACCTTAAGTTTCTATTTAGTTAAAAAGACAAGCAAACAAACAACCTTGAGAAAAACTGTAAAATGTAAAAAGTGTTATATTAAAAAAAAAGGTAGAAAATGAAGAACCGCTGGAAGGCCCCTTGCACCTGAGATACTTTCTTGCAACCCTGGTTTATAGGTGCATAAAGTAGGAATACAAATTAAGCATTTGCTGATGATAAATCAAAAAGAAATTTATTTTGATACAATTCTTTGATACACATATAATTTTACCACTTATAAAGATGAAAACAGATTTGCCTGCTAACGAGATGGATATGGTGTTTATTTTACATGAAGAATTAAATCTTAACTGTAAATTTTGCACTGTGGGATATAGAAAGCATTTCTACATCTTCAGCATTTTCCAGAGTTTGGTAGTCTACATTTATAATCCTCAAGGCTGAGTATGTTATTTCACATAAATACATAGAACTAAATGTCAGAAATACATTTAGGGCTATTTCTGAAACGGTTGAAAATTTTGTCACAAACCGAAGCAAAAATTCAGTTTTAAAAATTTTATGAAACTCTTTAGTAACTCAAACCCAATGGTAATATCTAAAATCAGAGTCTATCAAAATATAATCCATAGATAAACTAACATGATGCTGATATACTGGGAAATGACTGTAGGAAGAATATTAAAAGTCTTTGGATTTTTTTTTAAACTAATATGTTATGCTTTTGCAAGGTCAGAAAGTTCTTGCAGTAAAAACACTTGACTTCATGACGGATGATAGTTGCCAATCTGGACTGAGGTGTTTGGGGCAGCATTGCTCCAGGTGCTACTGCACAGTGTGATGACACACTCAGTACAAAGAGTGCACGTGTGTGTTCAAATCCAAGGCTTCAGGGTAAATGCCTCCAGAAAGACCTGGGATACACTAAATATTTGATTCTGAATTAACTTCTAGTTATTACCCACCCAGAAGTTTTTGCTGCTACCAACTCATTCACGAACCTCACATTCAGGGCTATGACCCCATGTAGAGTCATGAAAATATGAAAGTATTTTTATAATAGTTTTTAAAACTACAATGAAATGGCATCATATTCCTCCTTCCCATGGCTGCCTCCAGTTCGTCCCATATATCTCTTTGCTCTCTATATAATTCATGGTGTCCTTTGGACAATTATCTATTGTTCAAAGTGTGGTTTGAGGACAGCATTGTCATCATCAGGGACACCAGAAAAATGCTGATATTTAGGCACCCAGGATGTACTAATGAGAACCTTGCTAGTCAACCTTCTCATAGGCCATATGCTTGGACCAGTGCCAATTCCTATTCAGCATCAACCCTGGGAAATGATAAAGCCCTGCTTGCAGCCACATAGTCACTAACTACTGCACCCTTTCCCCCTTGACCCTCACTATTTGTTATGAGTGTCATCTCACACATTACAAACTTTCCTACTTGTGAGCTTCTTAGAATGCCAACCTATTTCTTTTCCTTGTTCCCAAGACGTATGTGGGATTACAACATTCTTAGCACAAAGATGAAAGATGACCATGACTCTTGTTGTCGTCAACTTTAGTGTACTATGGCTTCTGTAACAAACTATAAATAAAATGGCTTCAAAATGGGTATTTATTATCTTACAATTCTGAAAGCCAATTTCCAAAATCAAAGGCTTTTTCAGGAGAACTGACTTTTCATGTCTATTTCACTTTTTAAAACACACAAGATCTGACTGGTGTATGCATGGTATGGGTTCCATATAGGAATTTTCATACAAATATATCATGTACTTTGACAGCATTCATCCCAGATTCTCTTTGTGATGACTCTAGGCATTTCTTAGCTTATGCCTGTCTAAGTCCAGTTTATACTTCTGTCTTCACAGGGCCTTTGCACTTACCTGACAGCCTTTATTACCTGTTACAGAATACTTCTGCTTTTAAGATCCATTTCAGTAATCCAAGACACTCTCATCTTATTGTTATTGACTTAAGTATGCAAGCTCCTTCTCCCAAGTGAAGTTTCAGCATAGCTTCAGGGATGAGGACATGTTCATATCCTATTGAAGAGCACCATTCAATCCAGCCTTTAGTATTTCTCACTCCTTTTCAAGAGTATTTACTGGCGACTACAGATATCTTTGGATGGTCTGATAAAATACATTATTTATACAGAAATAAATATGTATGCCATAAAACATATGGGATTTTGTTTAAAATTTAGATCACTCACCAGCAGCCTATATGTTAGCTCGAGTTGGTTACTTTTAACACAGTCTTGGTCCTTGTAAAATGGCAACAACTTAGAGTAACTCTGATTTTTCCTTGAGATTTGGCTAACGTAGACTAATTTTGGGTATTGCCTCTTTTGTTCTAGGTAACACAATTCTGTTAATTTATTTTGAGATCATCATCTAAAGTATCATTCATGTTGTTGAAATAGTCACTAACCTTGGCCACATGCATATAGATAGGAGCTCTTCAATGGCTTCTATTGTATACCCTCAGCTCTCTGAAGCTAATATCTGTTATCCAGTCTTTATGCCAGTACCAGAAAGAGTTGATCTTTCTCCCTGTTACATCTTATCTTATTAAACTCTACCTATCTGTAGACTGTCAGAATCTACTGGGTCCTGATTCTACCAGAAAGCATATTGATTGTTATTTCTAGCTGTGTGTCATTGGAAAGCTAGATTTCTATGGATAAGCATTATTCTCAAGTCTTTAGGCCATTTAATAAGAATGATGAACAAGGAAATGCAGACAACAGAACATTGCAAACTGTTTACCCATACCTCCTTCCTCTTGATTTCAATACGTTAATTAGGTGTGGTTCCACCACATCACTTTACTAGCTGCTTGGTCACATTTTAAATTTTTTCTTCAAAACTGCTCAGCAGATCCTGTCACCTGCCTTATTGATGTCCAGGTAAATCATGGACTTCGTATTTTCTTCTTTCTGCCTGGTAATCTTCTTATAGAAATGAATAGGATTAATTTGACATGATGTATGCTGTGAGCCATGAAAAAACTCTTTAGAGTAAGGAGAAATGTTTGCTTTAACATGACCAACATCCTGATACTTAGCTCATTCCAATCAAGGAAGGTTTAATGCAGCAAATCGGGTGTGAGCAAGTTAGGATTTTGATATCTGAGTAGACAAAAAAAAAAAAAAAGAGGTATTTGTCAAAATCATCTTCAATATTTTAGTTTTCTACTGGTCCAGTTATTAATTTAGCTATCTTATTGCCAGGCAAGTAGAACCTTATCATAAGAGGTAGCTGTTTTGTTAAAAGTTTAATGGAGCGCATATTCATACGATCCCAGAGGTGAGGATATAATATAATCCTGTAATCAGGAGATGGAGGTAGTAAGATCAGAAGTTCAAGACCATCCTTGGCTGCATATATTGCGGTCAGTCTGAGGTACATGAGACCCTGCTTCAGAAACAAACAAACAAACAAAAAACTTAAAATATATCAATAAAGTAAATGACTTGCACACTCTGAATAGATTCAGAACTAAATAATGGGAATTCCTTGGTGGAAGACATGGTGGTCTGTATTGGGTTTAGAAACTAATGTATTTAGCAAGAATAAAAAAGAAAAAGACATAGAAATGTCAGGGAAAAACACAGTATTAGCTATATATGTAGAATATTCTAGGCTCAAAGCTTCTAGACTTCTAAAACAAGCTAAGGTTTTAAAAAGACAAGCAGTCTTGATAAAGCATGGCCCTCAGTTTCTCCCTGAAAGTCCGTATAATCTTATAGATAAGGCTGTAAACTTTTCATTTAATTTTTATCTGATAATACATTCAAAGCTGTTTCCCAAGAATTATTTTGTTAGATGATCTACAAAACCAATCTTATTTTTCCCACATTTTACAATTTATCGTAGTCCTCACTCCCCTCCTGCAAGAATCTTCATCTTCCAGAAAGTCAAAGGGAGCATCCCAAGGAGAAGTTCCTTGATTATCAGGATAAGAATATCTAAGTGAGGGCAGAGACGAATGCAGGTCTGGTAATGTGACTGAAGCTTGCTAAAATGGACAGCCTCCAGTTCTTTGAAAGACTTCACTTGTTCTGAGTTCGCAGCATGACCGTCCTCACCTCCTCTCCATCACAGTGATAGATGCCTTGCACTATAATCTCATGACATGCCACCCTAGCGGAGAATTGATGGTCAGTCTTTTTTTTTTTTCATTTTTTTCTAGAATGATTGATCATTCATATTTATAGGCCTATCAACAACTGGGCTTTACAAAGGTCAGTATTGATTATCTGGACCACTCAGATGGCATTCTTCATTACTATACATAAATATGACTTTCTTTCATTGGAATGCTATGATTTTTCAAGGAAGGCAGAAAGAGAATAAGCATTCATATGAGTCATATAGTGGGAATTTCAATTAAATTGCACAGAGATGGTCACAGGATTTTAGCATCAGTAGGCTCATAGTTTTGTAATATATTTTACTATTTCCAGTATTCACAAATATGTAGATATGCATGTGAACAAGCACACACACACATATTCTATCTTTTTCATACACACACACACACACACACACACACACACACATACACACACACACACACATTGTTTTATAGATGAGGAAACTATTCCTATCACTGGACATGGGTAGACAGACTACTAGTCCTGACATTGTATGGACAGAGTCCATACAAAGAAATGTAAAATCTGTGATACAAGATGCAAGAACTGGCTCTGTGTGGGTGGTAGATTATTTAAATGCTTCCTATAAAGCACACACAGTAATTTTGAGAGATCCTAACCTACTGTGATTGACAGCCACTTGGCTGGAGATATGAAAACCCTGGACATTGAGTAGGGAGAGTCCATTCTGCTCAGGACCTCACTTTGGAGGGATAAATCGAGTCTAGGCTGTCCTGGTAGCCCCCTCTGCTTTTTTATTTACTCACACTGGGCTTGTCTTTTACATCCTTTCCCTCAACACTTAGAGTTTTTGGCCACTTCAGCCTGCGCTCCGAATGGCAGTTGGTGAAAGTGGACTACAAGTCTATCTTCAGCCGGCGCTGTACCAAGGAGGACTTTGAGACTTGGCACCTGCTCAATCAGGTACCCCTGCAGTGGGATGTGCTGGCCTCTCTAGCAGCAGAACTACTTCCATCTGGATTAAGTCTTCTGTGATCTGGTTGTCTTAGGAGAAAGGGAGGCAGAGTGTCGCTTGAACATGTGGGTGTGACTATGAGGGAAATAATTGTAAATATCCGGGCCCAACAAGGGTAGACAACTTAAATCCCAGGACTGTATGTACTCATCAGGTCTCTGAACCTTTTGGAGGAGAAGGTTTCATAATAACTTAGGATGAGTACCAGGCAGTTAGGAGGGAAGATAGTATGGAAGATAGTATGCTTGTCTGCCCTGCCATTTAGGAAGGTGAGTGTGTCTCAGGACAGCTTGGAGTAAGGGCCCTAAAGCACCCGGAAGAGGGATACTGAGAAAAGATGCGTGGTGGATAGGTCTAGTGATGGCAGATACTTATTATCATGTAGCATAGGCAAACTTCTCTATTTTTCCCAACCCTTGGGTTCTTGCACTTTATACATCTTTTATTCTTTTTGCCCTTGTCTAAGACTTAGGACTCTATTGTGATCATTTATGAGAGTGAAGGAGGAACAGAGGAAGAGTGAAGGGAGAACAGGAAGTAAAGAGAGAGGGGGGATTATACACATGAGATCAACCTCAATTTTACTGTAAAGATAATATAAACAGTAAAAACAGTATACCAGACCTTGCCTTCTTATTCCTTTAGCTGCCAAAGCCATTTGAATAATAGCATGCTAGTTTCTAGAGTCTGAAGCATTTGTGTTTTCCACAAAGTTGGAGAAGAGACAATATTACATAGACATCACAGATAAGATGTGTAGAGGGGTGGACCTTAGTGATTCTTTCATTGGATCACAAAAGATTAGCACATTTGTCCTTGAAACTTCTGCATGGCTACAGAGAAATGAGATTACCAGATTGAATAATACTAAAGACAAGTGGTTTTGTTGACCAACTAGCTTATTTCACCTCCTATGTGTTTTATTGCCTGTCTCACTATGGGCTTTCTCTTTAAGGGAGAGCCTTGTGTCATGGGGGAAAGGAAAATATTCAAGAAACGCAAGCCAGGTGCTCAATGTGCCCTTGGCAGAGAGTACTCTGGGTCGGTGGTGTCAGAACCCTGTGTCTGTGCGGACTGGGACTTCGAATGGTGAGTCCTTTGAAATTTCATCTTGAGTCACAACTAGATATTTACCTTGTGGATGGGGCTGGTGGAGTTTAGAGTAAAGTTAGACCCAGATGCAGGATGTACATCTGTGGTCCTTAGCTGATGGGCCAGGCAGGAAGTCTGCATCCCCTGAAGTGGAGACATTGATGGGGAATGGCAATGGTGCCTGAGCAACATTTCCTACAGCCTTTCTCTTATCCCTAAGGTCCAGTGAGTAGCTCTGTTAGTCCTGGAGGAGTGGGGAAGGACACTGGTGTGGTTTAAAGAGCTACTGTCCTAAGCAGTTACCTTCATACATGTTCTCTCAAATCACACTCTTATGTGTGAGCATGCTGTCTTCATTTCCTCTGATTTTTATTTTTAACTTACATATAATATTTGCATATATTTATAGGACAGCATACTAGTTTGTACACATGTAACACTGTGATGGTCATGTAGAGGTAACTGGCATTTTCACTTGCTTGCAGGTTGGTTAATTCTTTGTGTTGGAATTCTTTGGACTCTTTTATTTTTGACACCAATTCTGCCTTTAATGACAATGGAAAAGTACAACTTCTAGAATTCTGATATCTAATCTTTCCTACAATTGATGAGTCCCAAATATGAAAATTTCTTACCTCCAGCTCTCAGCTTCCTTCTCCTTGGGGAGATAAGACTGTTAATCTATATGACATGCATTTGGATTTCTAAGAGAGATGGAATAGTTAGTGTGGTTGAAGAATCCTTTTTACTAGAAGATAGTCATGGCCCAGTTTCTCCAGCTTCAAGCAAACCCACAGCCACTTATACAGTGGTTGAGATAAAGTCCCAGGAGGGATTGATCTCTCTTCTCCCTGCCTGGAGTTCCAGGCCATCAATGAGGTTCTCCCTCCAAAACACTCTGCCCCTAAAAGCAATTCTCTCCCTTTTTATAGCCCTTATTATCACTCTAACGTTAGTCTCCCCATTGTATCCCTAAAATCTTGGATGTGTATCTGCAACCCTAGCTACTGGGTCAGGTACACATTTTCTTTTTTTTTTAAATTCCAAATCAGATCTTATTATTCCCATACTTAAGTTGATGAATTCTTCTCTCCCTTAAGATACGGTACTGTTATAGGCCCTTTGGCCTGGTGTCCTTTTCTATCTAATTTACTTTTTTATTGATCTTCCTTCATTTGCTTTATTAAAGCCACAGGACCATCTGCAGTCATTAATCCAAGCTCATTCCTGGGAAAAGGAATGGAGGCTACAACGTTTTCCCCCAAGTTTCAGTATGGCTGATACAGCCAGGTTTCTTCAGAATTTTTAGCATCTTGGAACTGCTGAAGATGCATTGTCCCATGTATATATCCTGATGCGCTCTAGCATAGTACCCTGCTTTTGTCTGTTAATTTTCACCCTATGACGCGATGGTGCTTTTGAATTTCTGTTATCATCTGTCTTTCCCCAGTAGACTGTAAGTGTTATGAATGTAGGAGCTTTTGCCCTCCTTCACTGTTAAAATCCCAGTGTCGACTCCACAGTAAACCTTTCACAAAGAGTTGTAAGGTGTTTGTGAATGTTGTTCTTAAAAGAGTCAAAACTTCCCCAGTTTTGGGAACATGTGCCTCGCCCTCTGGTCTCAGGTAGATGAATGCTTCCTCTGTACTCAGTCAGAAGCTGAAGTTCCATTTGATAATATATATTCATTATCCTCGGGTAGAAGGAATAGCTAGTGTTCAGACATCAGCCCATAGGCAGAGCAGGAGATGGGGCAGTGGCAGGGGCATGTTTGGTGTTCTGTGGTGCAGAAGAGCAAAGAATACTGCAGAGGGCAGAGCTTCTAACCCTACACAGCAGCCTCCCTCCTCCCATCTCCATTTTATCTAACTATGGTCTGGATGCCACCTTTTTATTCCTGAATTACTAGAACTCTAATGGATGACTGGAAGTCACTTGTGTAGGGTGATCAAGCCTCTCCCCTGTCCATTCTTCATTCTTTCATAACCTGGCTTCAGCGAGATTTATTCAAATGAGATGTACCAAACGGAATTTGAAATTTAAACATCAGGGTCCTTTCTGTGTTAGAAGAACTTTTGAAAGCAAAAATATTTTCATGGCTGGGAAAATATTTTTAATTAGGAACAACAGACCAGCATATAATCATATCAAGTAGAAATATAATGTGGATAATGTATTTCTTACTTTTTTCACCGTAGAGACAAAATGTCTGAAAGAAGCCACTGTAAAGAAGCTGTTATCAGGGCTCATGATCCTGAGCAGGAATAAGCGCTAGGTGTCTGCAAATAAGAGGAGCGCAAGGAAAAGAAAGCAGATAAGAAATCAGGCTGGCCTACCCCTAGTGACTCACTTTTTCCATAGAAGATATACACCCTAAAGTTACCACTGCCTGCCAACACACCACTACTAGCTCGGAACCAAATGTTCAAGCTGATGCGCCTATGTGACATTTCACATTCAAAGCGCAATGGATATCAACTTATTCAGACCATGAATTTCAGAGTACCTTGAGTCCTTCCCAGATGGAGTCCACTGAGGTCCACTCCCTATGAGAATGTCACACTACAGATTTTCACCGTGTTTCCTAGAGTCAAAGTAGACTTTTACCCACTTCCAGGAGGACTCACATGTAAGGTTAAAGAGACTATAAAATAGCATTTCTTTCCTTAACTGATTCTATTTACTGGCCAGTATAAAAATCCCAACACTGACATTTGTAAGGTTTTATTTGGGGAAATTTTCTTAATTTCTGTGCCTTTATTTCTTTGGCCTTGAAATAAAAATACATAACATGCATCTCATCAGGTCCTAGGGAGAAATAAATGTATTAGTAAATGAATGAGGGTAGATCATTAATATAGATAAGGCGCTTACCCAAGCTGTTTACAACATAAACCTACAACATATGGTAGCTGCTGTCGCTGCTGGAGTTGGAATCTGTACCCCGGAGTTTAAATGATCTCCTAGGATTCATATCACATACATCAGAGCTCATACCTCCATGTGAGCACTCTTTTCAAGGCCGTACCTTTGGGTGTTAAGCAATTATTCTAATGCTAGTGACAATACTTAAAGTAGTTTTGAGCCCTGCTGTCATCAGAATCTAAGTAAAACAGGCTGTAGGGAAGAGGAGGGAACCCTTTCAAAGCATTCCGTGGTTCTTAGATTTGTGCTGCTAGAGGTCTCACCCGCACTCCAAGTACTGTGATGCCAGTGTCTTTACCATTGCCATCTTAATGAGAAGCAAATGATCAGTCTGTTCATAAGTTACCTAACCATAGTTACATAAGTGGGAGAGGCAGAATTGAGGCTCAAACGAAGGGATGGCTAAACCTTATCTTGCCGATTCTATGTCATCCGTTGTTCAGGAAACCACGTAGGTCTTATTACTGGAGATTCCTTTTATGTTTGAGAAGTAATAGGGTCTCTACATTTAGTTCCTATCAAATTAAAACTCATCTCCAAATGACCCAGGCTGATTGCTCTAAGTGAAGCTTAATACAGACTACTTCATTAACTCTAAAGACAATTTCAAATAAAAAAATTACCGTTGCTAGTGGAATTGTAATAGGTATATGGTCTCCAAGTAGACATTATGGCATTATATATATATATATAAGCTACTGGATTTTTACATTTCTATTATCAATCATACATTATATTAAAAAGAAGGCAGAGAAAACTTGCCATCGATGCAGGATCAGTCAAAATGAGAAACCTGGTCTTGATGCCTGGTAACCCTCAAATAGCAATAACAGAGGTCATGTGACCTGTGTGCTTGTACTATTTCTGTGTATGGAAGCAGCAGTTTTTGATGCTATTAACAGTGGTTTAGTGTTAACATTTGAAATTGTTCTCAAGTGTCAGTATTGGCTTAAGATAGTTTTTCACCCGTCTTACTCTCTTACTATCCCCCTTTCTCCCTTACCCCTTTCCCTGCTCTCTCTACTTTCCTGGTTCTCTCTCTCTCTCTCTCTCTCTCTCTCTCTCTCTCCTTCCCAATTCCCCTTCCCATGCCCTAAATAAACTCCATACTACAAAAAAAAAGAAAAGAAAAAAGAAAAAAGGAAAAAAAGACAGTTTTTCACAGCTGAGGGAGATGGCTCAGCAGTCAGGGTATGTGTTTCTCTTGCAGAGGACTGGGGTTCAGTCCCCAGCCTCCACAGGATGATTTACAAGCATCTGTAACTCCAGTTTCTCTGACCTCCACAAGCACTAGATATATACACAGTGCTGATGCATGAATGCAGGCAAAACACTAACACACAAAATCAAAGAAATAACTTTTTAAAAAGTAAAATAAAATACATTTTTTTCGAGTCTAGTTTGTCTTGGTCTTTAGTGTTAATCCTGGGAAGCAGCATGTGAGCATGGTATGACAGTCTGACTCCTGTAGTCCCCTTCTGGGAGTTCCCAATTCAGTCAATTCCAGCCATTATCACACATATTGCATTCGGGTGTGCCCCTAAGCCAAAGTAGACCTCTTCTATGTTGCCCCAGGTAACATGTAAGGCTCAGAGGGCAACAGAGAGTACATTACTTACTTTAGAAAGTTTAGGAAGGTTGTAGGCTGCAAGTGGTGTGTTTAACATCTCCATATCGGCAAGAGCTAAAGGACACACAGCCTGGGTTTACAAACGGAAGCTAAGTTTGCTTTAAGGTGATATTTACTGAGCCTCAGAAGTATCTATCTGTAGAACAAAAGGTTTAGGTAAAAAGTGTAAGCATCACCAAAGACTGAAGTTTCTACTTAGAAGCTTAAAAGATTCCCAGGCTCTTCACAGCTGGCTGTGAAGTCTTCACTAGGGCACTGTTGAGTCACTGGAACAAATTCCCACTGGGAAGAGAACCAGGTTGCCAGCAGAGTCTCAGATGCTAGAGGGGGGCTTGCTCTAAAGCTTTGGGAGGGTCTCCGTAGAGGCTAGCCCTCTTCGAGGGGAAGGTATTTGCCAGTGATAAAACAGGAAGCAGTTGCCCTTATCCAATCCTTTTGCTCA